TGATCCAGATCATGCGATAAATTCTGGTGTAAATCACAATATGGGGCAAAAATTGCTGCTTGGCGGAGGTCTGCGCTCTCAGAGTGATTCTCTAGTTTTTTCCTTGAAAGTAATGCAGTGAAATAGATTCCTGCCCTAATTTATTCACAGCCTGATTCACTGATTTTTCCTCTGCTAACTGTCTTTAAGTTAAATTTATTAACGTAATTATTTAATATATGTTATTTCAAAAAATTCAGTGTTTGGGTAATTAAGTGATATCCTAGAAACTCCTAGGACAGCCAATAGCAACTTTCCTTGCTGTAGAGTTGGCAACAGTGGCTTCCACCACACTGCACTAGCAAGCTCTCTCATAAGTTTATTAGATATATTTCTATGAAGTAAGAATTCTGCCAAAAAATGCACACATGAAATAAATATTCATACATCCAGTTTTATTAAAAACACAGAGATGTATACCACTACAGAACCACCATAGCTAACTCTGCAAGAAAAATTGCTATTGGCTATCCTAAAAGCCCCTAGATTAGTCATTGGCTAATTTGCATATTTGATGTCATCTAGATGCTGGAGATTTCAATTCCCTCAGATTGTTTTTTTTCTCTCCTTTGGCTGTGAAAGCAGCACAGAGCAATACTGGGATAAGTGAAAGGGAAAAGTTATGGTAATAGCTTTTATAGATACAAGTGAAGAAAATATGCAGAATTCAGACATTTAGTTTCACATTCCATGCCATGTGGTGGTGATAATACAGCATTAGTGCTTTTCCAACCAACAAAAAAAAAAAAAAAGAAAGCAGTGCAGAGACACACAGGCTGTGTTGGAACGGCCACCTAACCCTCATATAGAGGAATATAAACTGTAGAGTTGGAGTTACCCCATTTTATGAGTGTCCAAATGTCTAGTGGATGAAAAAGTAGTGGGCTCAAAATTTTCCACAAAGCATCTTCAAAAATGTTGGTGTACATCCATGATCCCAGAATGCTTTGCAATAGCTCTTCCCAAAAGGCATTATGGGATTTGTTTTGTGTTGGGAGCTGGAGAAGTTCCACCTTCCTCCATCAGAGTCCGCCGTGGATCCTCCTGAGCTGAGCTGCCTGCACACCTGTGACTGATCAT